TATATATATATATATATATATATATATTTGTTCATTTATATATATTTTTAATAACTTATTCTATATGAGTATGAGGAAACCATCAGTGTTATGTCATGATATTTTTTCAGTTGACTTGTTACCACCAATAAAATGTGCACCCAATATCAGTTTTACTAATTATTTCACAAATGTCACACTCACCTACAAATTGCTTGTTTAATGATTATCGAGCCAAAAGCATCATCTAGTCATCTGTTGTATGTCACAAGTGTGTTTTTTTCTTTTCTTTTGATTATGAACAAATAGAATGAAACTTGTCATTCATGTTTTTCATTTCTGTGTACGTGCTCATGGCATATTTGGCACTAAAATTTAAATTTTAAAGTTGTGCTCAAAAGAGACATCTCAGTATACAAAGAAGTGAAAATTTTTCAAGGTATACTTATGCCTTTCATAATGTTTTTGTCTGACAAGTTGTCACTATTAAAAAGAGAAAAAAAAAATATTTTCTATAGTGAAATGTTGAAGAATCTGTAAAATGAGAAATGAAAAAGAAAGTTATTAACATCACTAATAATTAATACTTACTAGTAGTATTTTACAATGATGTCCTTATTGTACTTCTAGAAACTTGTGACTGAGGGAAATGAAGAGCTATCCCGACACCTTTTAGCAGGGATGGGAAGTTATCAACATTTGTTACTTCGGCTGCAAACAGAATTTTACTTGGATTTAGAAGGAAATGTTGATGTCCCTTTTATATGGCAACAGAAGGGGACAAAGAAAGGTAATGTTTGTAGCGTGGTTTACAAACTGTACACTCTGTGTGTATTGTAAATTTGCATAATTATAACTTGAAGTTGTTGTTTTTTTCCCCTAAATATCTTCCGATACTGTAGGAAATAAACCCACTTAAAATAAGGAATCATCTTAAGTCTTTTGTCCTTGACATAGAACAGGGTGCTCTCAAGATGTGACGTTCTTCAAAACCTATAGGACTACGGAGGAGTTAAAGATAACATATATCTTTAACTTACAAAAAATGGATTGAAAATCTATCATGAATGTTGTAACTTTAATATAGGCATGCAAGAATATATATACCAGCTGCAATAAGTAAAGCTTATTGAATCAGATAATTAGTTTATTTCAAAGTTATAGGTATGCGGTAAAGTTTTAAATTAATATTTACTAACATGAAAAACATCATGCCATTCAAGTTAAGCTGGAGTGTTAGCATGATTTAGTAGCTATAAGTCAGAAGTTTTATTTACAGTTGATTTAATTAATTCAACATAATTTTTGTCTGCTTATTGTTTATTTAGAATTAAAATTAATTCAGCATCTTGTTTGTGGCCCATTTTTTGGCAGCCCCCCCCCCCTACACTGGTCTACTAGATGTCCATTACGTGTGTTTGTATATGTAAGATTACTTTTTTTACAGAAAAGTGGAAGAAACGTCAGAAGAATCGTGAAGTTGAAGAACCTGTGCAGGAATGGTGTCGTCAAGCTTGCCATCATTTTCTTATTTGTTTAGGGGATCTTGGTAAGTCTTCAGGAATTAAGAAATTATATATTTTTCTTGTTTATATTGTCATTTCATGAAATATAATTAGATTGGCTGGATGTGACCTAATAGTTGTGTCAGATTAACGATGTAAAGATGTAAGGTTCTGTTTGCAGTATACCACTGAACACCTTTAGAACTCTCAGTTTTGTAGGGACTATAATTGAGTAACCATATTGATAGTGGGCTGCTAATGTTTTACCCTCCTTCAAATCAGCAGTTCGAAATTAGAATTGGCTATGCTTGAACTTTAAAGTCCCTGACCTATTTGTTTAGCCTTTGTATTTTACATGGTGCTACTCAGATTGAAAATACCAAATACTAATTAAATTGTATAGTTATCTTTAAACAACGTACAGATGCCAAATAGTTTCATTTTACAAATTGTCTAGCAAAAAAAAAAAAATTTTTTCATTTATATTTCTTAAGTTAAACATATTTATATATCCTTGTTGTATTACACCTGTTTTGACGACTACATTGCTTAAAATCAGTTTCATTAAATAAATTTACCAAATTTTGTATTTAAGTCAATAGAATAAAAATTGTTTATTTGTTTTTTAATTTCACGCAAAGCTAAACTAGGGCTATCTGCGCTAGCTGTCCCTAATTTAGCAGTGTAAGACTAGAGGGAAGGCAGCTAGTCATCACCACTCACCACCAACTCTTGGGCTACTCTTTTACCAACGAATAATGGGATTGACCGTCACATTTTAACGCCCCCACGGCTGAAAAGGAGAACATGTTTGGTGGGATGGGGATTCGAACACGCGACCCTCAGATTGCGAGTCAAGTGCCTTAACCACCTGGCCATGCCGGGCAATAAAAATTGATTTGTATTTTAGAAAGTATTAGTAACTATGCTGTTGTATTATTTTCCGTAGATAATATTCTTTTTTCCCTTTTAATTTGATACAATTTGGTAGCATTACTTTATATGTACTGCTAATATTTATACAGAACCAGGGCTCAGAATATTCAGTACTTAGCTGGAAAAAGGCCAGTAGGTTCTAGCATTTAGCACTAGCATTTTTTGCCAGTTGATAATCCAGGTAAGATTATGAATATACAGACCATTTGTAAATTATGATCAAAATTAAGAAAGAAAAAAAAGATGCTGACTTTAAGCACAGAATTTCTGGGAAAAAAAAACCACTATGAAAACTGATTGATAATTTCTTCCAGTAACCTGTTGCACGTCAGTTTTGTGCATGTTTTAATGGGATTTCCAAAGTATAAAATAAATAAAAACAATGCATTCAAGTGGTTTTCAGGTTTTTTTTTGGTTTTTTTCCTTGATATTAGTTAAAATATTAGGCCAAAAAAGTTAGTTTCAAGCCCCGAGAACAGTGGGGTATTTATGTAATTATCTTTCTCTAGATTTCTCAACATCCATAGTGCATTTAAGAACCATGAAGGACAATACTGTTTTTATTTATGATGAAACATTATTGTTATATTGTAGCTCGATATACCAGTGATCTTGGATATGAAGAGAATATCGGTCTTGCTAAGCGTTACTATTATCAAGCTTTTGCTGTGGAACCCTCCATGGGAATGCCTCATAATCAACTAGGAACATTAACAGCAATGACTGCAGGAGGCTGTAATGCTGCATACCATTATTTACGCTGGTAGGTGTTTACAATTCAATCAAACAATCCAAATGTATATGTATTTTAATTAACAAACAATATCTGATTCAATGGCAGAAAATATGTCTATTTTGGTATCCCATCTAATCCAGATATTTGGAAGCCTTAGAATGAGGTATATGGCTGTGTAGGGCATGATCCAGGGATCATTTTGTTATACTGTTTTCTTTGATCTGAGTGGTCGTTAAGGTGCTTCTATCATACCAAAGTGGACTATCTGCATGCTATAGTCATGCTATCTTATCATTATTTTCGTACTCCTGTTATCCTTCTAATTTTCTTGCTCTTCAATCAGAAAAAAGTCTGTATATTCTCTGTTCCTCACCTGATCTTGAATCCTTCTTCCCTCTTATGCTCTTATTTCCATTTGAGAGCAAGGTGTTGGATACATCCATAAGTTTACCACTCCTGTACACAGACATACTTTTTTTTGGGTACCTGACAGCACCTCCTTTGACCTTTCCCTCAGCTTTTTCAGCAACCATGGTTACATTGTGATCACATCCACATTTGTACTTCCTTGAACATTTTGCTACTTTACATTTGCAGGTTAGCTTTGAATCCAACTTCATTTCCTTCTCAACAAGAACAAATATTTGGGGATTCTGTTTTAGCAATTCTTCACAAAAGATTTGTGAGTAGTGAGAATAACATAGATAATGTGCTACAACAATGCAATGACCATTGTCTAAATTAGGGTAAAAAATCACCAAACTCTGCTGATAAAAAAATGATCACAAGTTTTTTAGGTATTATTCAATTACAGATCATAATTATAAATATTCAGTTATTTATGTATTTTTATTTAATCATATCAAAAACCATAATTTTTGCATCTGCCTGCACTGAAAAAAAATTATAGTATTCTGTTCTATTGTTATAAAACATTCTCCAATAAAAAGTATTTCTATTTTATGATAGATATTATGTAATAAGAATGCTGGAATATTATTTACTGGATTATTATTTTTTCAATGCTTTGAAAGTAACACATTGTTTTATTTCCACTGAAGGTAACTCTTACTTTTCAGTACTTTTAAATATTTTCAACTTCTGTTTAGTCTGCAATCACCAAAACCCTTTGATGGTGCAGAAGGAAACTTACAACGTGTTTTTGAAAAAAACATTCAGACCTTCAAGGAATTGGACAACACAGAAGAAAGAAATGGGTTAGTTATGCTCATTAAGGCTACTTGTAATTTGAAATGTTTTCTGTAGTGTATTGTATTTTTAGTTGTCTTTTACTCATCATAGTAAACCTATACTTGTATGATTTGAAGAATATTATAGAATTAAATACTACTAGTTTATTAGTAATCAGTTCAGTTTTCAGTAAACGTAATTTAATAATAAAGAATAAAGTGAACGTAGTTACATAAAGCATTTATTAGCTAACTGAAGATGAACTTCTGAAGAGTTTGAAATGTCTAATAAAGTATTTAGTAGACAAACTGTTTAAGATACTTCAAGAAAACGTGAAGCTCAATCTATCTTTTAAGTCACCACTTGTCAATGAATTATATTGGTTTCCTATAGCATAAGTAATATTTTAGTTCTCCATGAAATTTGCTTTTGAAAAATAAAGTAATTTAAACCTAATTTGATAGGAAAAATTGAATCAGACATTAAAGAACACTTTTTGTTGCATTAATCATAAATAGTTTTAATAAATCTGATTTTTCAAAATGTCTCCTTAGTCATAAATTTTTATAATATTGGATTACAGTGTTTTTTTATTGTTGTTGTTTTTTTTCATCTCACAGTGAACTAGTAACCCGAAGATTTTTGGCCAGGTTTCTGAAATTGTGTGAAGACTTTTTAATGTGTCAAGAAGAAAAGTAAGTAATTAAACAACAGAATTGTTGTTATTGTAAAAATGTGTTGAGCTTTTGTGTGTTTCTTACCTTGAACTACTGTTGTAGATCTAGGTGGTAACGGTACTTGAAATACTGTTCTAGATCTAGGTGGTAACGGTACTTGAAATACTGGTCTAGATCTAGGTAGTAATGGTATTTGAAATACTGTTCTAGATCTAGGTAGTAATGGTATTTGAAATACTGTTCTAGATCTAGGTAGTAATGGTATTTGAAATACTGTTCTAGATCTAGGTGGTAACAGTATTTGAAATACTGGTCCAGATCTAGGTGGTATTTGAAATACTGGTCTAAATCTAGGTGGTAACGGTATTTGAAATACTGTTCTAGATCTAGGTGGTAACGGTATTTGAAATACTGGTCTAGACCTAGGTGGTAACAGTAATTGCATATATTTCATTACAGAGATACAAGAAAATATGGTGTAATATTAGAAAGATGATAATAATGTAAAAACTTTTTATGTTTCACATGACAGTTTGGTTTAATAATTCCTTTGGCAAGGTTTAAGAAGATACTGGTCATTTGTCATTTTACAAATGGCTTCTAATCATTTATCACATTCCACAACTTACCTTATAGACATTTGTAATTTAGTGTATGTGTAATTAGTTTTTGTAGGTCCCTTACGTGGTCTGAGTTTTAGTTATTTCATTGTGATTGGTAGTATACAGTCACTCTGCCAAGACTTACTGCAGGACTTCCACCATTGTGTAACATCCATACAGTGCTCACAAGATGAAGATGAGGAAGCTGAACAACTTGACAGTAGTCTAATCTTCAAGTTAACAGTGATGACTGTTATGTGTGCTCATAGACTACAAACTACTGGTAAGATTTGCACTTGTATCTGTTTATGTTTGTTTTCATTTTGTGTTTTATTAATTATCTAACCTGATATTTAGAGTAGTTAAAAGTTGCTGAATAATTGTGAGTCTGAATTTTTGTTCATGTTTATATAAGGTAGTAAAATTGACTTATTCAGTACCCTTACTGAATGGTTAAATTATCATGAGAATGAGTCATGTGCCATTTGAGGTACTTGATCTGAAAAGCTGTTACTACTCAGAAGAGCAAGAAAAAAGGAAGTGGAATTCAGCATAAATTAAGCAGAAGGTAATATTGATTTTACAAAGTATAGTTGGAAGTGAGGTCCTGTGTGTGCAATGTGTAACCATACTAAAGTTTTTTTTTCTAAAGTCAGTCTCATGTCAGATGAAGGTATAGTGTGTTCCTAAAGAAATTGTTATTGATTGTTTTCAGGTGTAGGTAGTTATGTTATGTACATACATAGGTGAATATAAGATGAAAAAGTATACCAAATTTAAATAATAGTTTATGATATTTCTTTATTTTATGAATTCTATAGTATTCATAGGATTTTTTTGTATGATGTTGAAAATATAAGCTCTGGTATAAGAAACATGAGGTTGCATGCTATGAATTACACAGGCCTGCAGTGGTTTTATTGTCTTGAAATTTTTACATGTTCTACAGTAATTCCTGTACATTTTTCTCTATCATGTATGAATTTTCCACAAAACATCATACATACTTTTACATAAGTGAATTATTTTCATTGAAATCAGGTCACATTTTGTTATTCTTAAAATGTTAAAAACCACTGGCCATAGATTTCTCTAGACCAATTGCAACGTGAGCCTTATCAATCGTTCTAGAACCTAAACATAGCAAAAATAATATTAAAAAATGTTCATTGTGGTAAATGAAATAATAATTTGATCGAAGTAAGAGTTTTTTTCTTCTTGATTTGTAAAAAATCCTTACGTGATAGAAAAAATATATATATTATTTTCGAAATCTGCATAGCTGAATTATGGAAAATCCATTATTAAAACCAAAACAACTTTTATGAAGTTTAAATTTGCAGGCCTGTTATTATTCACAAAAGTTACTAGCATTTTGCCTCATTTTCATAAACCAGTTTTTTTGTTTCTAGAAATCATCAAAGACTTCAGTGGTTTAAGACTGTGATGTAACAATTGTTCATTAATTTTTGCACAAGATACATAAGCATTTAAATTACTAATGCTTGAATAAATGTTATTTAACTGATCATCAATATCAAGTTGATTAAGCTTTGAAGTTTCTAAAACATTAACTAGTAAAACAAATAATTATAGTACATTTTAATGTATTGAATAAATCTATTGTTCAAATGTACTGAAGGAAATTTCTTAATTTCAGGAAGCCCACTAATTTCTACAGCAACAGCATTTCTTCTCACATTTTTCTCTCACCAGTGTTGCTATTGTGTTCAACGGTTACAGCCTGCCCTGTTTCCATTCTCATTCAATGCTCATCCCATCAACAACTATGAAGATACTGGTAAAATCCTTGGTTTTGATACCAAGTAGTGTTAATAATCGAATTTTTTTGTTTTCAAAAGTGCCACCGGCATGGCCAGGTGGTTAGGGTGCTTACCTCGCAATCTGAGGCTCGCGGATTCAAATCCCTGTCACACTAAGCATGCTTGCCCTTTCAGCCATGGGGGCATTATAATGTAATAGTCAGTCCTACTATTTGTTTGTAAAAGGGTAGCCCAAGAGTTGGTGGTGGGTGGTGATGACTAGCTCTAGTCTTTCACTGCAAAATTAGGAATGCTAGTGCAAATAGCCCTTGTGTTGCTTTGCATGAAATTCAAACCAAACAAAAAATTTTTTCCAAACAAGTAAAGTTTCATTTCGACATTACAGAAGGTTACATGCTAGTACTTCAAAAAATTATTTTGTGTCAGATTATTTATAAAGCATGAAAACCTTTATAAACCTTTTTGGGGACGTATTAATAAAACTGCATTTTTTATTTAAGAAATCTTTTGTAATTGTATTATAAAATAATGAACATACAGTAGTGATTGGAATGTTGATTGCACCTTAAGTTAAATTAGTATTTGCTATTACTCAACAGTGTGTGTGTATATGCACTAAATTAATTTAACATTTTATTAGCATTTTAGTACTTGGACAAAGACAAATTTAAACAAAAAAATGTTGAGAATGTTGCTTCTCTGTTTTATACATTAAAGAAATAGAGAATTACTCATGTTTTGAAGTAGTTAACAATTAAAATCTAGTTTGGTTTGTAAAGAACAAAAAAGTACAAATACCTTTTTTTATAGAGAAAGTACATCAAGTTTTTTTTTTCAATATCTCAAATACTTGTTTCTGACTTTTTTGCATTCTTTATTTTCTCATCAAAACAGAGCAAACCAATAGTCAGTTTGTAGTTTAAGGACTTTTCATTGCCTCTGCCTTTTTTTTTTTCCTCCTGTTTGAAGGTTGGTGTTTGCAAACTGATTAATGCACTGAATATTTGTTTTATTTTTTATATGCTGTTCGGAAACATTATAATTTGTCGTACATGTTTCCTTCCATCAGTATTTTAATACAGTAACGGGGAATGCTATGATTTTTACAATTTATTGATTTTAGTTTAGAGTTTGATGTCAAATATATTTTATCAGTTTTAAATTAAAATTTTTTAATCATGGTGTATGATTACATACCGATTCAGTGATACGGGTTTTATATACAATTTTAACATATTATGGAGTTAACAATCTCCTTCCATCTGTGAAGGTACTGTTTCTTTGATTCACAGTTGCCACTAATTCTATGCTGTGGTAGCAATACATTATTGAACTGACCAACATTTGATAGTTTGGATATCTTTTAAATGTAAGTTTTAAAATGTTGGACATAATTTACTCATTCCACCTTAGTCCAGTACTACCTGAGTATAAGGAATCAATGACCTTTCTACCAAACTTTAGGCAGTCTTTAGTAGTTTAATATCATTGTCACAACAAGAGATCCAGAAGAACCATTGATCAAGAAAGGCTTGATCATATTAAGACTAAAGCCTTGTCTGAAATTATAATTTTGATTTTAGAAAGTTGTTTTTGACTATCTTCATATGTTTACTTTTGTTTTGGTAATATCTAATGTTAGAATATATATACGTTAATCTTTAGATACTAGAAGCACATCAGCCACTGCAACTCCTGTTCCACCAACACTACCTACAGAAGACAATTGTGCCATTGTAGAAAGCATGACTGATTATAATCACAAGGTTTGTTTGTGAATGCTTATGCATTTTATGTTTAAGACAAAGCTGTGGAAAGTTAGTCTCTTTGGTCAAGAACTAAACTTCTGGATGTTTGACTTATAGTTCAAAACAGAAACTGAATTAAATTTTGGATGACCTTATTTATTGCAAAATTTAAATTTAAGAACATTTTTAGTCGTTTTATCACATACCATCTCCATTTTTTGGCTTTATACAGAGTATGGAATCTTGTAGATCAAAAAACTGTTAGTTTCTACATTTTTCTCGTTGTAATTTTAACTTAATTATCATGAGTTCTTAACCCTTTCGCATTAGACTCTCGCAGTTTGCAGAAATCGAGTCACGAATTTCACTTGTACAAAACTATGTGCGTTAACTCTGAGATTTCTTAACATATCCTCTTAAAAACTGGGAAGATTTTGTTAAAGATCATGAGTAACTTGTACACAAATACTGACAATTTTATAATTAAGTGTTTTTGCTAAAAATTTGTTGTTATTCTGTTGTTACTTGTATTCAAACTATTAAATTTAGTGCAAGGTGATTTTTATTTTTAAGTATAAAAATACTATTCTGTGTTTTATAGTTTCATGTTTTATTTGCATAAACTCTAGAACCTCCTAAAAAGATATCAAAAGTTTTTTAAGATAAATATTTATAATTTGTTTTTCATTTTTTCTACCATATCGCTAACTCTAGCTATTATAATCAACGTACAATCAATAATTAAAAATAGGAAATAGAAAAAAAATACATCCCTTTCAATTTTTTGTAGAATATCTTTAACAAATGTTCTTTTGTTAAATTCATAATTTCAGGTCTTTTCCTTTTCACATATAGTTAATTTTTAATGTTTTATTTTCCTTTCTTGTCCTTTACCACTTATTATTCATCTGGACACAAGTCAACGTTGCCCTCGAGGCAGATTACAGTGTCTTTGAGAGACATGCACAACCCTTTGAGAAAATTTTCGATTTGTTTGAGCTTTATAGCCTACATGTATGTAGAACTTACATAGATATCTGTATAGTCATTAGAAAGAGATCATTTTAACTATAATCTAACGATGGTTATTTTGAAATTGGCACTTAGTTATTGTCAAGACTATATGTGACTGACTGTAGTATTGTTGGCTGCTTGATTGACTATAGCACTTATGGTTGTTTCTTACCTAAATATGTTATAGTTAGAGATACAGTTTAAATTGTATTTAGGTCTTACTATTATATTTCAGTTAATTATGTATTAGTTATGTTTTAAAATGCATAATTAAAAGGTTTTAACATTTTTAAAATATACATCATACTTTGTGTCTGTTCTCAAGGCTTACAATATTACGCACTGAATTGTTGAAGTTGGGTGTGGCACCTGTCGGTTGAAAAAATGTATTATTCATTTTAACTGTATTCATTCAGAGAACTTTGAAATGTGCAAATCAAAAGGTTAAGTAAGCATCCTATTGTCTAGACGTACCTCTACTCAACTACCATTATATTACTGAAGATACAGATAGCTAAGGTAGAGAATTTTCATAGCTTGTTGGTCACGTGACAATACACCTGAAGTTTTAAGTAGTTTTTTAAAGGTTTATTTTGAAATAAAGGTCTTAAAACTTAGAAAAAATGAAACTTCTAATCATAACATATATTATAATATTAATTTCATTCACATATGTTGATAGTAAAGGTGTTCAATTAAATTTTTAATGTAACACAGTGACTTCCGCAGAAAAGCATTTAAAGTGGCACCCGTTGCTAAAGGGTTAATTAATATTAAATGTTTTTCCACAACAGTGAATAAAATAAAGAAAGAAGGAATAATATTCACCTAGAATACAAATAAATTGCAGTCTATTTGCTACCATTTTCTTTACAACATTTGGCCTTTCTGTTGTAGCTTTGTTGACGTTTTCTTGTGGTTTTGTTTTATGTTCATTTCACAAGGCTAAATCTCTGGTGTTTTATTTGTTGAAATGGTTGGATACTTCACATGCTTTTAAATTTTTTTATATATTCATTTTTTAATTTGTCTATTTCTCCATTTGTATTCTTAAGAATTAATAATTCATAAACATCACCACAACCAAAGCACAAACTTCAAACATAAAGCACTACCTTACAAAGCTATATAATGTGCCTAATGCACTGTGGTTGTAACTGATGGCCTGAAGCCAGGTTTCATAAGCTTCTGGTACAGACTAAATTATTGATTCAAGATTCAATGGTATTTTTGTTTTGTTCTTGTATTATCTTATTCATTTCACAAAATAAGTAACTGTTCTATAAAGGAAAGCTTTTATTCAGATATTTAGTCCAACTTTTATATGTTTTCACAGCTGTGCTATCATTCTTTTTTTAATCTATTTCATTCCATCAAATACAATCAGAGGCCTAATGAAATTATGTACTAACCCACCTTGTTGAGAAAAATTTTGCAATAAAATAGCTGATAATACCATTACAACTAATATAAATAGATAGTATTTATCTTAGTATGTCTTATTTATAAAACTTACCTCTAATAATCTCTAAGCTCATGCCAGAGCAAAGGTCAGTGTAAGTTTTCATTTGTTTCAAACTATGAATTATAATGTTTGTAAAGAACCAAAGTAATTACTTCAACAAAATAAATAAATAAAACAAGCAGGGAAACCTATAAACTGATTTATTTCCTTTACGTAGCATACAAAAAACTAAAACCATGATGTAGTTAGATTATTTGAAGGCATGTAACCAGAGGGACTTCTAACATAATAACTAAAAGTTTAGAAATTGACAGTTAATTAGATAAAAAGAAAGAGAATTCTACAGCAAATAGATTGTGGGAAATAAAATAATTCCAGGTTTCAGGTAATATATTTAGGATTTTGTTAGCTTTAGAAGTTTGAAAATTGTAAAGCAAAAAAGTGCAATAGCTGAATTTTACAGTTTTTGACAAGACTAACTTTAAAACTTCACTGTTCTCAAACTATTTGAGCTAGAAATAAGCAACAAACATGTAAAAAGACCAGGTAATTGCAGCTGTGTTTTCTCAATAGATGGAAAGTTGAAAGTTCTCTACTCTCAAATAAAATTTACAATTATAGGAGCCAAAAATTGTAGGATTGGCAGTTTGGATTTTTTTGGTTACTTTATCGAAAATGATTGTTAACAAGATTTATAAAGAACAAAATCGTACAACTAAACATTCCAGTACAGTTTTGTTGTTATTGTTAATGATTGGAGGAGGGAGATCAGACATAATTTTTGAAATTTTAATAAAATTTGTATAAAAAAATTAATAATCTGAACATTTCCATTATGGTTTATACCTTATGTGATTGGAGGGAGAAACCAGACATTCTTTGAAAACTGAGTATAGGCATGTGCCTCTCTTAATAACCTTGAGGTTCTGTGTAAATAGTAATACTTAAAAAAGTAATTTTAAATATATAAGAGCGATGGTCAAGTGTAAGTAATAAAGTAATGCCACTCCAACCAGCAGTTTTATGAAATTACACAAAGATGATGGCCACATGCATTTAGAAAAGTAATTCCACTCTATGTAGTAGTTAGAATCTTTGGAACTTGTTAATACTGTTTACCTCAAAACTTACCTTTGTGGAGATTGATGAATAAAAGTCAGTCCAAAAATTGTGACACTTGTTAACCAAATGTTTTGCAATATTTGTGTAAACAGTGTAAGAATAATGAACAGAATCATGTAATTCCATGATAAAATACTGATAAGGTCTGTGTACTAACTAGATATTTCCGTGAATATTTAATTCTTATTTAACCCTTTCCCATACAGGCCACGGGTGAAAGGCAATGTCATCTGTGTTTTTTAATATTTACTTTTAAGTTAAGAAATTGAGTAATGTATAGTTTTAAAATTTGAATTATAACCTACAGTTTG